TTCTTTGAAAGAGCTTTCATTATTTCTAACAGAGAAATGTTATTTGCCTTCTGTCTTTATGGAGCTGCTTGTCCCGTGCCAAGATTGTTGTCATCCAGATTAGTGTCTAGTGTGTAATAATGTTAGTCATAGGCTGTCTAAAGTGATCTCTTTGTTTTACGAGTATGATCCACTGATGTCAAGAGCAGGCTATGTGTCTACAATGGAACAGACTCTAAAAGGACTATACAGTCAGCATTCAGGCTTGCAAGATATATACAAGTAAGCCATAAATTGTTTATGACTGTCTGTAAGTATTCTTTACTGGTACAGTATGTATATTATACAGCATGCTCTGTTGTGTAGTCCTATATGTGATATGTTACACAAGGTATAAGAAGACCACGTGGGTTTATCTGAATCCCACCTGAGTTCGATTTAGATCTCTGTTCTGCTATATCTCAAACTTAAATATAGGGGATGATAGCCACATATTTCTTATAAAGTTCCTGTTCCTATTTTCAGTCTTTATTTAGTATTTGCAGGTATCCATCTTTTTCATTACCACACCGCCAAAAAAAATTAAATCATTATTGTCAGTATTGTCATAAACAGTATTGTCTTTTATTTCCTGTAAAAACAGCTACCCAAAAATTAATTAAATGATTTTATTTGATAACATCAGTATTTTCTTTTCTTTTTTGTCAACAAAATACCATAAGATACATTTTCTTGAGAAGCAAAAATTGTTTTAGATATTAACATGTTTTAAACATCACAAAATTTACTTATTTAATTTATTTTTATTACTTATTTAACTAATTTAATTTATTTACCACACTACATAATAATAATAATAATAATAATAATTTTCTTTATCAGTATTTTTGTCTTTTTTACACAAAGAATATGTAAACATCCTTAAAACAACATGGATGCACATATTTTGTTTGATAATGTCAGTATTTTCAGTCTTTTTTCCCAGTAAAATAATAAGATAATTTTCTTGAGAAGAAAAATTGTGTAAGATATGAGATTCATTTAACATAATAATAATATAATAATAATCAGTATTTTTCATATTTTCATCTTTTTCCAGTAAAAATAACTAAGCATCCTTGAAATAAGACAAATTTACTTCAGAAGCAAAATAGTGAGATATTAAATTTAGTTTTAAGCAAGAACCTGATTTTATATCAATTTAAAACAAATATTAATTTACTTAAAACAAGAAGAAAAAAATCAAAATTGCCAATACAGCATGCAAAATGGAACAGAATTCAGAATATATTCTAAGTCTTAATATCTTACACAATTTTACTTCTCAAGTATATACTGGAAAACAAGACAAAAATTATTAAGAAAATGATTTGCAGTGCAGTCACACAGTGATAGCTTTTTTTAGCAATTCTTGCTCCCAAGGACCAGACGGTTGTTAGCGGTTGTTGTCCTTTAGCTTGATAAAAAGCAAAGGTCTTTCATGAACGAGGAGCATGCTGTAGTCAGCAGTGGGGTGTTTTAGCAAGGGGGTCTTTGCTTGTGTGTCTGTCATAGCAGTGTTACCCCTGTTCCCCTCCCCCATCATTTCATCAGCACCTTATTACTCTGTCTGGCAGGCAGCGCTCAGTGGGGGGGGGGTGCAAGCTCCATCGCTATGGAAACTGCATCACTGCTCACTCCACTGCACCCATCTCTCCAGTTTCCGTGGCGACCACGCTCCCTTCATCTCATAGCTCAACTGCCAACTTCACGCCGACACATTTTATACGAAGCTCACCGTAATGACCCCATAAACAAGCGTGTGTCGGTGCTTGCTGGGAAAGAGTGGGCGCAATGAACAAGTGTCCTATTGTGTGTTGATTTCCACCTGAAAATAACTAGAGATATGTTTGTTATTCCACTCTGATACATAGAAAAGGACTGAATATTTATCATTACTATAATGAGCTGTAGAATTATAGTGCCTATGAATTATACATGACGCATGAAGCTTTGCATATTGCATAGAGTGTCTACACCACACCTTCATAATGCAAACAAAGAATCCCACCGAGGTGTTGTTGGGATCCATAGTGCTAGTGTAGGAAAAGCTCTAACTTAGCACAGCCCAGGTTTCAGGCATTGAGTATGACAGGCAGCCATCCAAGGAAATGATCACAGAACTCTGTCTAGACTCTGAAGCTCCACTTAGCTCAGATACATACCTGTGGTTAGAGTGAAATGCTGCTATCATGTTATAATTATGAGCTAGATAAGATGCTTAATTTTTAATCGCTTGAGATGTTGCATCATCTTAAATTGGGTGGAAAACAAAGACCAGAGGGAAGAGCTTTGGAAAGGGTGTGGTAAAACAGTGGATTGATGCTATGCGATGTCAGTTAGATATTGCGAATCAATTAAATCCCACATTGTAAATCACTGTGTTTAGCTTAAACTGTTTTAAGAAAAAAACACACACACACATTTACTGTATGCACTCTCCCTATGACCTTATGCACGCTCTGATAAGGGGAAGTTCACCCAAAAAATGAAAATTCTGTCATCATTTATTCTCCATTATTTTGTTCCAAACTTCTGCAGAACACAAAATGAGATACTTTAAAACATGTTTGTAACCAAACCATTTAGATTACCAAAAGGACTAAATCCCACATTGTAAATCACTGTGTTTAGCTTAAACTGTTTTAAGAAAAAAACACACACACACATTTACTGTATGCGCTCTCCCTATGACCTTATGCACGCTCTGATAAGGGGAAGTTCACCCAAAAAATGAAAATTCTGTCATCATTTATTCTCCATTATTTTGTTCCAAACTTCTGCAGAACACAAAATGAGATACTTTAAAACATGTTTGTAACCAAACCATTTAGATTACCAAAAGGACAAAAAAAACAAAAACAAAGACATTTCTCAAATGATCTTCTTTTATGTTCTACAGAATAAAAAAAGTCATACAAAAAAAACAAAAACAAAGACATTTCTCAAATGATCTTCTTTTATGTTCTACAGAATAAAAAAAGTCATACCGGTTTGGAACGACATGAGGGTGAGTAAATTCTTTAGGGTGAACTGTCTTTAAGCATATTTGGTGTAATATGAAATTATTCCAGTTCATTGGCTCACATTAAACCCCTGCTTATTAAATGATCATTATGTATATAGTACCATTCAGACATTAGGCTTCAGACACAATTATTGCATTACTGTCACATTTGGTCTGGGAGATTAAAGATGGACATCAAATTAAATAACATTTGAACAGAGGCACCATGCACTGCCAGATTTGTGCACCTGGTTCCAGTCTGTTGCCATGGCCACCATGCTGTCACTTGGCTGGAATTTATTGTTTCGGAGAATTTGTGCAGAAAGGCCACAGAGACAGAGAGGGACATGGAAAGACATGCATCACTCTGACAGTAGATGATGAAAAAACTGAGTTTACTTAGAGGCACTTGGATATGAAAAGGGCCAATATTTGGAGGATTTAAGAGCAGAAATGTGAATCTTAGGGCCAGATCTAATAACAGCTTGTAACTCTCATTTGGCCTTAAAAACTGTTGTCAGGATTTACTAAAGACATGCAGAGAAAGTTGTCTTTAGTAAAGTAAAGAAAAGGCGTGGACACAGGGATTTTTGTGGCTGACCTTATTGCATATTCATTTGTTAGAATGTCTCTTTCAGATACAAAATTTATGGGAGTTGATTATTTAAATGAATCATTCAAGGTGATTTACTAAGGTTTGCAGTAGTCAGATTTCTGGTATTTGTGCCATCATTTAATGCCCCAAAAAAGCATGTCTAAACCCACTTTGCACCTGTGTTGTTAGATTACACGCACCTGATTACATCAGCTCTGCTTGTTTGAAACCCTATATGCTAATTTGCACTCCTCTTGGTAGTTTGTGTTTGTCATTGTGGAAATGCAGAACTTTCCACTCCCAATGGCACTTTTATAGGATTGCAGTCTCATGCTAATATGCGCTGTTTAGTAAATCTGGCACTTAAAATTATATAAAAGCACTTACATTAATTCCTCTGTTAAAACTCATCTATTATTTGAACTGTAAAGTTGTTCTCGTAATTTGGGGTTCAGGAATTATTTTGTAATGACAACATATACTGTATATGTATAACCCAGAAAATGATAGTAAGCTATTATACTATTATTATTTAGCTATATACTAAAATCATGTCTTGTGGCTGTACTATTGAATGAAACAGTATTTTAACATTTACGTTTTGGCCTGATTTACTTCTTTTGCAAGTATGTAAGGATATGATGGACAAGTAAAAATTTATTTTTGTGGTAATCAACAATAAACAAGTACAACTTAACCACAAGGAATAACCTTAGTCATTCCAAACCTGTGAGACTTTCTTTTGTAGAACATAAAACAGTTTTGTTTACCATTGACTTCCAATGTATTGACAAAAATACAAAATACAAAAAAAAAAAAGATTTCTCGAAATATCTTCTTTTATATTCCACAGAAGAAAGAAAGTCATATCAGAACGACATGAGGGTGAGTAAATCTTTGGGTGGTCTATCCCTATAATCTCCTCTGCTCCCACGGCCTCATGGGATAACAAAGTATTCACTGGTTTACACTTCAGAATCTGAAGCAGATACTATATTTTTGCCTGTTCTGTCATACTCATTATATTCAGACATTCTGCTCATTCGACTTCTTTTTGCATATTATGAAGCAGGGATGTACACATATGTGGACATAGGCCTTCTGTCTGATTCTGCAGGCTGAATTCAGGCATATTTTTGAATGCACTCCTGTCTGTTTGTGTAATCATTATTATTAATTGTGTTATCTCTGACTCAGCTCTGATGCAGGATGATTCACTAGTTGTTACATCATCGTAGGTCATGCCATTCAGTGGATGCTGAATTGTGGATCCTAAAACAATCAATGAGAAACAGAGTTATGGTATACTGTAAACCACTACCACCCATCCCATCTGTGATTCTGACCCCACCTGAACTTTCACTCTCTCCGTTCATCCAGTGATGGAGTTGCTGCACTGGCGGAACCTGAAGCAGAGTGGGCTGGTGTTTGGCAGTTTACTGCTGCTGCTTTTCTCTCTGACGCAGTTCAGTGTGGTCAGTGTGGTGGCCTATCTGGCTCTGGCCGCCCTCTCTGCCACTGTCAGCTTCAGAGTTTACAAGTCCGTGCTGCAGGCTGTGCAGAAAACAGATGAGGGACATCCCTTCAAGTAAGCCTGCTCTGTGTGTGTTGCTCAGTGTCATTCAATGAGTTACTAACAATGTTTTATTGTGGATGCAGAGCATATCTGGAGGTGGAGATGTCACTGTCCCATGATCAGATGCAGAAGTACGCAGAAAACGCCCAGTACTATATCAACAACACACTGAAAGAACTGCGCAGACTGTTTCTGGTGCAGGATCTGGTGGACTCACTAAAGGTGACCCGCCGTTCAATTTAATCTACACCAGGGGTTATTCAGTTATCAATTTTTCCTTAAAGTGATACTTAATAGGACAGTATAGAAAAGATGGGAGGTGATCAGGAAATTACCTGAACTGGATTTGGTTGCTCACACATAAATGCCAGCACACTTCAAAGCATGTATCGTACTTTCCAGGCCGTACACTACAGTTCAAGAGTTTGGAGTTGGTAAGATTCTTTTTTGATAAGATTTTTTTTCCTTTAAAATAATTTAATAATGTAATTTTTTCTTTTTATGGCAAAGCTGAATTTTCAGCATCATTACTCCAGTTTTCAGTGTCACATGACCCTTCAAAATGCAGTGTTGAAATCAGTTATGCTGCTTCTTATTTTTGTGGAAACAGTAATACTTTTTTTAAGATTCTTTGATGAATAGAAATTCAGAAGAAAAGCATTTATATCATGAAAACTCTCAGATGATTTTAGCATGGTAATGTTAATGTTAATGTATTTGGTCTTGGTGGAATAGTTCTGTTACGCTGCTGAATTGCTGCTGCTGTTATTGCTGTTGCTGTAGATTCTTGCTTCTGCTGCTGCAAAACAAGTACAGGAACTTAGTACTGCCAATACATACGCCAAAACGGTGCTGTGAGTATTTAAGACACACTGCTGCTACACAAGTAGCATATACAGTATAATAACCTGTAGCAGATCTATACAGGTGGAGCTGGGGAAGGTGGAGTGTTTTAAAGGAACTCTGAAATCATGCTGCGAAATGCTCTAGTAGATGCTAAAGAGCCATTGTGTTAATGATCCATCAGCCTGCGCCATATAGAGTTTCATGACAGATCCTGGCATTTATTTGAAATATTTTTTTTTGTCTTTACTGCCAATTTTAATGCATCCTTGCTGAATAAAAGTAATAATTTCTTTTTTTTTAAATCGTACTTTCCCGAAATGTGAACTTCAGTGTATCTATTAATTTCACAAATATTTATTGTACATTTTTAGGTTATCAGTAACAAAAATGTTGTACAAGTAAGAAATCTAGAGTCTGCATCATGGTTTGCTAATTGGTGACCTCTGATCTACATAAATAATGGTAGCAGTAATTAGTATACAGAATATTAGGGCAGTTTCACACTTTATGAACTTCTACAATGCTTTAGTTCCGCTTTTCACAGCACTGGCACATAAATGCATCATAAATCATATGATACCTTCATTCAGTATATGTGTGTCTATGAACTGCTAGTTGTGTTTGTTTGACCCAAGTTTGCAGTGCTGATGTGGTTGCTGACCTATGTGGGAGCCCTCTTCAATGGACTCACTCTTCTTATTATGGGTGAGCATCTTTTTCGGTTTCATATGCACCTGTAATTTGAAATGTAGATGAATGTATGCTTTTTGAATGGCAGAGTACTGCATTTACTGATTATGTGCTCTTTTGTCCCGTCTTTTAACATTTACATTACATCTTGCTTCAGTGGTGGTGTCCATGTTCTCGATGCCTGTGGTCTATGAGAAATACCAGGTCAGAGTGGCACCATTGTTACCATGACTACAGAATCATGTATAATTCATAAGCATTATGACTACAATGACTCACTTTTTTAAATCTTTCTCTGTCTCTAGGCACAGATTGATCAGTATCTGGACCTAATAAGAACCCAAGTCAACTCTGTGGTAGGAAAGTAAGTACTCCCTTTAAGAATATAATATAATATACTGTATGTTTTTTAATAAAGTCTCATATGCTCACCAAGGCTGCATCTATTTGATCAAAAATACAGTAATATTGTGAAATATTATGGCAGTTTAAAATAAGTTTTCTATTTTAATTTAAAATGTAATTTATTCCTGTGATGGCAAAGTTGCATTTTCATATGATCACATGATCAGTGTCTGATCTATCTGATCATTCTAATATCATGCTAATATGCTGATTTGGTGCTCAAGAAATATTTATTTTCATTGTCAGTAGTGAAAGTTGTATTTTTTTTAGAATTCTTTATTAAATGGAAAATTCAAAGAATATAATTAATTTGAAATAATTTTTGTAACACTATAAATGTCTTTACTGTCCCTTTTGATCAATTTAATGCATCCTTGCTGAATAAAATTTTTATTTCTTTTAAAAAACTTAACAAATATAATAATATAATATAATATAATTAATATAATATATAATTTGAATGTTTGTTTTGGATCCAGGATCCAGGAGAAGATTCCTGGGGCCAAACGAAAGGCTGAGTAGGCCACACAGGGCCCTCTGGACGAGGTTGTGAGCACCTGAAGGGGTCCTCTTTGTACACACACACACACACACACACACACACACACATCAGACACAAATAAACATCACTGGAACATAGTTCTACTTTGTACACATTGTGACGTCTAGAGCAATGGCTGAGCTGTGCAGGAGAAGTCCCATCCTCGCTTTGTAACAATAGAAAAAAATGAAGAAAAAAAGCGAAGCGTGCTATCAAATCAAGATCTAGTCAGAAGTACAACTACTCAATGAATTGTAGAAGTAACCTTGAAACATAATATTCAAATCTGGCAAAAAGACTAGATGTGATTTTTTTTGTATGTGTTGCTCATGAAGTGCATGAAGTCAAGAGTCTTAAGTGCTGATGAATTCTCTTTTTATCTTTTAAGTTTGTGTGCTTTCTCAGCTGTGCTGAAAATCTCTGTAGTATGTGAAAGATCTCTGCAGCTTTATTGCTCTCCAGTGACACTCTCTTCTTGGGAAAAAAAAAAAATAGCTTTTTGTGGGGCTTTTCCTCTTCCATCACTATATCTGTAAACATGATTAACATAACCGTCATTGTCAGCTAGACGCATGGATCTGTTGAGGTTCATGATATCTGGGCACAAACGCAACTATTTAGCAATGTTCTAATTAGATATGGTCAGCTCACTCGTAGCAATGCAGTATGTTTATTTTTCGTAGGGGTCCGCTACAGAGAGTGTTTTTAGGTGCTGTCATTGCTCTTTTTTTTTGGAAAATGATACAAAACAAAAGAGAGGGAGGAGAAGGAAGCTTCAGTGAGTGATTTCCAGCTAGAATCTGTTAATCTTTATACTGTTAAGTGTTGTTCATTCTTTTAGCCATTGACTCTTAACTATTTGCACTTAAGATGTACTCAATACTGAATGCGAAAATAAATGTTCTAAAATGTACTTCTTCATGGCTCATCTTTCATAATTTAATGTTCTTATAACCACTGATGGCAGTTAAGAAGGCAGTTAATAATGGCATTAGAAAATACTATGACTGTGAATTTGTAAATAATATTTAATAGCATCTTTTTACTAATTGCTATCAGGCTAGTATCGACATTATCGATACTACTATGGATATCAATACTTTGGATTTTTTTCCTCTAATTTCTAAGGATATCTGATAGTCATCATTAAGACTTAAACTTCAAATGATCAAACTTAAACTGTTTTTGTTAAATCATGTTAACAACAATTAGCCTATACAACATAATCAAACTTTTATTTTAAGTATAGATTACAACAATCGTCAATTTTATTTTTTTCAGAGAACCACCACGAGCTGGTTCTCTGAATCAGATGTGTTAAAGGGGTCATATGATGCAATTTCAAGTTTTCCTTTCTCTTTGGAGTGTTACAAGCTGTTCTTGAATAGATAAGATCCCTAAAGTTGCAAAGACTAAAGTATCAAACCCAAAGAGATACTTCATAAAAGTTAAGACTCGTCCATGCCCTCCTAAAACTCCTTGTTTAAACACGCCCCCACATGTCTACGTCACTGTGTAGGAAGATTTGCATAACACCGCCCGTAACGCAATAAGGCGTAACTTTGATTCTCGCTGTAGTTTTGTTGCCGCCGCAGCCATGTCATAGAGACGCTGTGTGTGTTGTTGTGAAAGCGAAACTACTTTGTTTGGTCTTCCAAAAGAGGACACAACTAGAAATCAGTGGTTAAGTTGTATTTACAACACTGTTCCAGAACAGTTCAA